TGTTTGTTTGTTTGCTTTGTTAATCAGCGGTCTGTGCAGCTGGACCGGTTTGTGGTGAGCGGTTGGGACCGTTGTGGCCACTGCCATCTCTCGGCGATAGGCCCTACCGCCCCCACCCTATGGTCCCTGAGTGGGCTGACCAAGCCTGTGCTGCAAGATTGTACTTGACCCAGCCATGATTCCTAGAATGGCTTTTCACTTTGAGAGAAATCTGTTGGGAAATCAGTCAGAAAGACTTACTGTACCTCACAGACATGGATTGCTTTTTCCCCTTGAATTGCTTGAAGCCCAGCAGTGTCCCCAGCCATCGCTGTGTTTGAGGATAACGCTCTGTGCTTGCTCCAGACCTGTGTTCAAATACTATATGATATCTTTCAAATTCGTTGAGTGTTTGCTTTAGCTTGGCTGGAGTGCCAGGTGGGCGGGGTTTGCACTTTCGGGGACTTTTCTATTGGTCCAGTAAGCCAGGCAAGCTCAATCAAGCACAGATAAAGTATTTGAAATTATTCAAATTAATTGAACCCTGGTCTGCCTTGCTCAACCCTTTTATCGGGATGAAATCCAAGTCCCACTTTGGGCTGCAGGATGACTTCCATCGTCCTGTTGAATGGCTGAGTCTGGCGACAGGGGAGCTCTCTCATCCTGCGTTCTCCCTCAATCTAATCAAGCAATGAGACCAATAAGGTGAATTAAGACGTGAGTTGAGATGGCTATCCTCTCACAGAGGTTTCTTTGTGCCTGGTATAGGAATAAGAGGCCCATGGTTAGCATGCATCACACACAGGAAAGGAACAGGGCCGGGGCAGCCCCCAGACCAGACTCAGGAATCTACCCTTCCCTGCTAGCGATTTATAGGGAGTCGGATCACCTTGCTATAGCAGTTTTCAAAGCACTTTCTTCAGCTGTGCGAGCTAGGGCCCCATTTCCTCCTTTCTCTCTGGAGGGAAATGTAAGTGTGCTGGGGAGGAAATGTTGCAAAGACGGAGGGAAGTCACAGAGACGAAGAAAGCAATGTTATTTGTAGACCAGTGGGGCCAGCGCCTTAAAATAAACGACTCCAAAAATGTTTTACTGGAAACGGCTCGCCACTGATTAACACACCATGTTTTCATACAGGCTACAGAACAACTGCAATCATCAGTCTGGACAGAACTTTTGTTTGGGACAAGTATACTGTATTTATGGCCAGCTGCTCTGTTGGGTCTATCTGCCCCCTGGGCCTTTCTTCCTGTTGGACATCCTGTTTCTGATGAATCGGCCTTTAAAGAGGAAGCTGGTGGTCACAAGGACACACCCCCTCAGCCCAGCACAACCAAATACAGCATCCTCCCCATTCAGAAAGCACCAGCCAACGCTGCTGACAGGAGCTCCCTCACCAGAATCTTTTTTGTTTGCGTTCTTCCTTCCCCTGATCTTTGACTGCACAGACCAGGTCCACTTGTGACAGGCTGCCCACTGCCTATTGGCTCCCATTCAAACCACTTCCCTTCTTCAACGCCTTGAGATGTCTGTGATGTGAGGGAGAGGAGAGGAAGGGGAACTGACTCAGTGGAGGCTGCTGAGGGGAGGACAGCTCATAATAATGGCTGGAATGGAGCAAATGGAATGGCATCAAACACATGGAAACTATATGTTTGATGTAGTTGATACCGTTCCACTAATTCTGCTCCAGTCATTACCACAAGCCCGTCCTCCCCAATTAGGGTGCCACCAACCTCCTGTGAACTGACTGTAGAGCTGACAGACGGAGCAGCACGGGGGGCCCCCTCAGCCTCGGCCTGGTTAGTTACATAACGCAGACTCCCTCTATCGAGTATGCGTTCACAGGAACTACATCACTCTCTCATAGCCTACACACACATCACACTCATGTACACATACTGCACGCTGTACGTACAGGTTGACATACAGAGACACAGACACCGTCTCAGGCTCATCAGAGTGCGCTCCTCCAGACGTCAGAGGATGAGTTTTGTTCTCTGTTCAGAGGAGAGGATGTGATCTCACCCAGTAAAAATCCAACCTATTTCGCTAGCCGCTCGTGACTTCATCCAAGCTCCCCCTTTGAGCTAGGCGCTCCCCCCTTCCTTCCCTCCCTCCAATCCTCCCCTCCCCTCCTTCTCTTGCTCGCTCTCTCTTTCCTCACTCCTGAGTGTATGGAAGGAACAGAGTAGGCCAATGTTCTCGGAGAGATGCTGGTTACGGGTGAGAGACACAAGCTGATGGACGTCAGAGAGAGAGATAGAGGGAGAGTTGTATATAGGAAGGGCTGAGAGAAGAGGGGATAGAGGCACTGACTCAGGTCTGTGTTCAAGACCAAAGACTAGACCCGGAAGTGCTTACTGTCTCAACATTGTCTTCTCAAATGTTGGCATTGGGTTTTGAATAAGGGCTTTCAGTTTCACTGAGAATCTCTAAATGCACAATGTGGGAAACACCCCTCTTTTTCCTGTTCTGAATGTATAGTTTTTTCCATTGCTTTCTCTCTAGCTCGTCTGACGGTAAAATTAACTGTTTATGCATGTCTGCATAGACTACGTCTGTGTGTCTGTCTATGTTTTCTATGTAAATATTTTATTATCTTCCCTCAGACTTCAACAGGACTCAAATTGAAAGGAATGACTTGGGCTGCAGTCGGGCCAACCCACATGCCTTTTGCTCTCTATGGTTTTTATTCTGTGCCAGGTCAGCTTTTCCTTCCCCTTGACTCTCGCATTCACTGGCTTCTTCATAGGTTCACTTTGCTCTGAAGAAGAACCATAGGAGTGATGGGAGTCTCTTATGTCAAATGCCTTCTACCCTGCACATACATAACTCTACTGAGTGTGTTAACCTCATTACCACACACAAACCTTGAAGCTGTGCTTGTCATGTCCATTACAGATATCTGTAATGCAATTATAAGAGCACTGACATGATATTAGTGGAACATATGAAAGCTCCCAGTACCACCCTGCAGCTCTGAGATTGGTTCTCACCGCATTGGCTCCCAGTACCACTCTGCAGCTCTGAGAGAGGTTCTCACCACATTAGCTCCCAGTACCACTCTGCAGCTCTGAGAGAGGTTTTCACCGCATTGGCTCCCAGTCCCACTCTGCAGCTCTGAGAGAGATTCTCACTGCATTGGCTCCCAGTACAACTCTGCAACTCTGAGAGAGGTTCTCACCACTGACTGTTGACACACAGGCATTCCAGCCTGGAATGCTCGTCTCTGCTGCAAATAAACCAAAATAGACTTTGTGCCTCTTCATGTGCCATCGTGGGGCCCTGAGTTTTCCCTGATGGGTCAGACAGTCAGGAAAAACTCTGGGCCCTGGCTATGTGGGCACGCTATAATCAGGTTTGGCAGTTAACTGGCACGTCATTGCGGTATTTATTTACCTGATGGTCTCGCTTGCATTACTCGCTCAATCACACAACGTTCATACATTTACATTTTAGTCATTTAGCAGACGCTCTAATCCAGAGTGACTTACAGTTAGTGAGTGCATACATTTTTCATAATATAATGATGTTGACCTTCAGGCCAATTTCAGGGATTAGTGAATATCTTTATTTTCCCCACTATCTTTCTCTCCCCCAGTGTGTGTGTGTGTGTGTGTGTGTGTCTGTGCCTCTCTTTCTCTGACCCTGGTGTCATCCTGTGATCTGCTCTGATCTGGGGGCCTGTATGTCTCGGAGCCCCTGCTCTAATGGGTTCAGTGGGCTGGTATGCAGCAGGAATCTTTGGATCAAGGTGATTTCACGCTCCCCCACGTTTTCCCAGGGCTCGGCCCAGTCTCTGTTACCTCTGTGCGACTTGGAGTGTGTGATAGTGGCTGACACGTGTTATCATTAGACACATGCACACACAGCAGCATTGAGCAAAGGGAGGTTTATCTGTCTGACACCTCCATTTCCCCCAAGGTTTGGATTATGGCTGCCTGGTATGAGACTCCTGCCCTGCACACTATAACTGAGGTCGTCAACTTGTTCCCCCATAGGCCTATATTAATTGCATATCTGTCTGACCTGAAAGTGGAATGCAAACTGAATGCTTTCAGCCTGTCCCCTTTGAAGTAAAACTAATCTGACTAACCTTGACATTCCCATGGAGACAATTCGCCCTCTCTTTCTGGGCATTCCGTTCTCATAACAACTCAGCAGATGCTGCAGCAGTTTGTTTCTCTCAATGAAACTCCATATTTCATTCAGTTATTTTTGGTAATGATTGTGAAAGAGGAAATGTGTGTTATCATCCCAGCAAGATGTTGCTTTTTCAGCTCAATGATTTGTAGTTCCTCTTTCAACAATAGTATAGGTGATTGTTCTGTAAACATTGAGATAGTTGAACTAAGATAGTTGAACTAAAGAAAAGCTTGCGGTTTAGTTTGCTAGATTCCAAGCTCTTGATAATTAACCAATTAAGTGCCAATTAAGAATAGCCTAGTTATAATCTTATAATAACACGGTTATTTTAAATTCGTTAGCCGTAGTAGAAGCAGTAGCCTGGTTAAAGATGACAAACAAAGATGTAAGAGATACAGAAACCTCACAATGCTAGTGTGATCGATTAGGTTCATGTCTGACATTTCTATATTTTCGATTTCACTGCATCAGCGCATGTGTGAGGCCGGAGTTGGGGTGGGGAGAGGGACAAGTTAAACGAGTGAGGTGGCATTCATCCGGTTCCTGCTTCTAGCAACACAGCAAGAGATAGAGCAAAAGCTTGTTGTACAATCTATCACTATAGCCTAGCCAATTGTTGTGCAGAATGAGATATGCTTGCGTCATAGCCTATAGCCTACCCTGCGTTTATTCAGACTTCAATAAGAAGAAAGTAGCCTAAAGCCCAGGGCTGAGAGGAAACAGAGGCTATCGAGAGGCAGGACTACGCTGGAATAAACCCTGCAGTCTCACCCATGCTTCCTCCCGAATAGCCTACTTCTCCAGCAGTTTTACACTGTCCCCAACTACTGTTTTGACGTTATAATTTTTTCTGCAAAGGAAAGAACCGAACCATGGAACTTCTTTGCTTCGAGGACAAAGTCGTGAGAGCCCAAATTGACCCCAACATTCTCTATGACGACAGAGTATTGCAAAGTCTGCTAACCATTGAAGACAGGTTTCTACCGCAATGTTCGTATTTTAAATGTGTCCAGAAGGACATTCAGCCACACATGAGGCGAATGGTTGCAGGATGGATGCACGAGGTTTGTGAGCGTTTTTAGCCTACATGTGCATTGATCAGGTATATTGCTGCTTGAAGGCATGTGTGCATTGGTCAGGTATATTGTTTGAAGTCATTTACTTCCCTCACTCTAATAAGTGTGCCTTGTATAATACGATTTGATTTCTCTAATCCAAATAACAACAGGGGTGTGTGTGCGTTTTTGTGTAAGCATGTTGCAAGTTGCTCATAGGCGCATGTTCTAATAACTCTGTAATAAGGTTGTGTATTTATTCAGATGGTTTATTAAAGTTTCATAGCATGGTTGTTTTGAGAGCTGACATGCATGTCGTGTAGCCGAATTTTTACAATTTAATTCACTGAGAAATGACCCATGCAATGCGTTGTGGTGCTTCGGAAGTTCCACCAGGCTAGCTAAAGTCATCACCATGCATTTAAGTTCGCGGAATGTCAACATCTTGGATTGTATTGGTTATGGAATCAGTCAAATGAAAGAAGACATTCTAAGCTTCATTTTCATGTTGAATCTATCCAATTCGAACGTTCTGAATAATTATGACCATTTTTGGAAAATATTATTTCCAGTTCTTGCTGCCTCAAAACAGCAAGCACGCACAGGCTACTTTCGTTTTTTGCAATTATAAACCTTTATCGAAGACAAATTATTCTCACAATTTTCGGGAATGGTTTAGGAATGGCTTATGAACATTACGCATACAATTTCCCTGCTGTAGCTAATTTATTTATATTAGTAATTATTTTTTGAAAATATGTCGGACATGGCGAAATGAGCAGCGTGGGTGTTTGGCTCATGACTTCCGCTACAGGCTATAATGAATGAGAGCCTTTTGATATACTTTGATATTTAAGCTTTTAATGCGGATCCACTGACTGAATATCGACAACATAGATCACATTTGGTTTTCCCATCATGCACATTTTGAAATTCGATATTTTCTTGTTTCTGCAGACATTAATGTAAATATTGATATAATAATAAAAATAGTAGGCCTAATATAATAATAATTTCTCTCCCACCAGGTTTGTGAAGAGGAGAAGACTGAGGAAGACGTTTTCCCCTTGGCTATTAATTATTTGGACAGATTTTTAGCGGTGGTGCCCACTAGAAAGTGTTATTTGCAACTTCTAGCAGCTGTATGCATGTTCCTTGCAACAAAGTTAAAGGAGAGTCGTCCATTAACTGCAGAAAAGCTGTGCATGTACACAGACAACTCCATCACACCAAGGGAGCTGCTGGTAAGAAACTATTGTTTTCTCTTAATGCATGGAAAAGTATGCAATTACTTAAAACATCATACATTCATGTATAGCCCAATAATTGTACAAGATTATACTTTTTTCTTCAGACATATTTAGTTAGATATGTCAGTGTACAGTTCTGGAGACTGATTCCTTCCTTGGCCATACAGTAGGCCTATGCATGCATGAGGAGAGTGCCTGATCAGATCTGAACTGAAGTGGCCTGTGTTGCCATCTAGTGGCAGTTATTTGTCTTGTGGTAGAAGGATTTAAACATTTCCAACATTGTGAATCAATAATTTGTAGAAAGGAACAGTAGTGCATAAATCCAGAAAGGGTTCTATTAAGATCCACTGGTTGAGGAAGTTTATATGCATTAGTTTCATAATATCCAACTGTGTTTTCTTGACCACTCTCTCTGTTGTTAATTGAATGATTGGTCTCGCTCAGGGGCCAGTTAATTCACAGGTTATCCCACAGGGGACCTCCAGTTAACCAGCCCACCCTCCTAGAAACTATTTAAAGCCTGTCACTCCCTAGTATCAGATAAGACATTCCTCCCTACCATTACATCAATATTTCTACAGTAAATGGCATGTCCCACCCATGTTGCTCAAGAGGCCAAATATGAATCACCATAGGAGAGCTATAGGACTGTCTCCTCTTCTCCTCTGCTGTCCAGCTGCTGGGGTTGCATCAGCACACAACCCTTGTGCTAGAAGTTTCCTTGGAAAAAGTCAATGGAAACTTATAGTTAGAGACTAGCCTGGTCCCAGATGTGTTTGTGCTGTCTTGCCAATTCCTAAGGTCACAGTAATGCCAACTCATCCTAGACGGCACAAACAGACCTGGGACCAGGCTAAGAAGAGACATGGTGAAATTGAGATTCTTTGTCAATGAGCCACAGCTGGTGCATCAGCTGGGAGAGAGAGGGGAATTCAGGGGGTTTCTAGCAAGGGCAGCTGACCAGGAAGTGAGCGCAGCAGCGACAACAGAACAGACCTCCTCCCTGCACATCTTCAGTCTACATTCTCCACGGGCTTAGCATAGGTTAATCGTTTGCATGTGTGGCGCTGCGCTGGTAGGAAACCTATATGGATGAATGAAGTCTCGCTGTATGGCTGACGCTTGTCCTGGGCTGCCCATATCATCTGAGAGAGCCGCTCAGAGAGGGGGCTGTCCCTGTCCACGCTAACAGAGGGGTTTCAGTAAACATGGGCGTTCACTGCCACAGCCTCCGTCTCGGGTTGACACATCATCTCAAAGAGGAAACCAGTTGGGGGATCAGCTGAATTTATCACATTGGCTGTTTTGTTCCATTCCTTTTCCCCTTGGGGTGAGGCTGCTTTTAACATAAAAGCTCCCCGCAGCGTGCTTACCAACGCGGGCGGTGCAGACCAAAGACTAGCTAAGGCTTGTGACAGGAAGGAAGCAACTGTGGCTGCGATGCTGCTGTCTCTTTGGCTGGGACTGGAACCAGTGGCGAGGCTCGACACGTCACATCAAATCAAATCAAATTGTATTTGTCACATACACGTGTTTAGCAGATGTTATTGCGGGTGTAGCGAAATGCTTGTGCTTCTAGCTCCGACAGTGCAGTAATATCTAACAAGTAATATCTAACAATTTCACGACATATACCCAATACACACCAATCTAAGGAAGGAATGGAATTAAGAATATATACATATATGGACAAGCAATGACAGAGCGGCATGGACTAAGATACAGTAGAATATTATAGAATACAGTATATACATATACTGGGCTCCCGAGTGGCGCAGCGGTCTAAGGCATGCATTATGCTAGGATAACAATTATTCCAGGCGTTCATC